GCGCTCCACCAGGAAACTTGATGGGTGTCAATCGAAGAGCTCTCACAGCTGAAGTCCACCTTGATACAGAACAGAGGGATGCTCTATTTCACTCACGCTGTGTTGTCCACGACAAGTTGATGTCTGTAATTATTGATGGAGGTAGCTGTTCGAACATAATTGGTTTGGATGTGGTGAAGAAGCTTGGGCTATGTACAACCAAACACCCAGAACCTTATCAGCTCCAATGGGTGAATGAGTATGGCTCAATCAAAGTTAGCAAACAGGCCTTTGTTGACTTCCAAATGAGCTATGGAGTCTGGTTGGAGTGCTTGCAAGCAGACAACTTGCAGCTTACGTTTCTTTGTGCTTTTCGGATTTAAGTCTACCTGTTAGGGAAATCGAATTGTGTTTAAGTTATTTCCTAGTTTGAGTTTGTTTCCTTGTTAGAATAGATTTAGGAGAGTAAGTTTGCATCTATTTAAGGGCTTGCAAAGCCTTGTGTAAGGACAGTTTTTTATTAATAACAAGTTTAGTTCATTGAGTTTGCTCAACGAAGAATTGTCCTTGATTGTTGGCCGATTCCAATGATTCAAGCGAGCTTTGTATCGATTGAGTACTCACCTCAATCGTGGCCGAGTTGCTACCTGCAGTTAATCGAGCCTCTTCCCCAACTTGAGTGTTGAAGTTACACGATTGAATCTTCCATCGAAGAACTCTGTTTTAGCTTCTGCAATTCCATTATTTTGGGATTGGATTGAGCTGCTCGACTCTGAGATATACAACCTGCGAGTTGGGTTGTATTACCTTTGGGTTGAACTAAGTTCGAGATCTTACACAACTAGGGTCGGTTCAATTCAAACCAAGCAGGTCGAACCACATGACCCAAGCGGGCTTGAAATGCACCAATCAGAGGCGTGGGTAGAGTCAAGGTCGTTGCTGAGGCCAAGTTTCCCCATCTTGCAACGCCAAAAGCCGACAATCGCAGGATTGGGAGGGGAAGGAAGTTGAGCAAGGATCGGGCTATGGAATGGGAGGTAATGAGTCGGATGAGGAAGAGACATGGGAGCTGGAAATGAAACCTCCAGGGGCACGATGCATGGACACGAGGAGTGGGCATGCAGGTGGATCCGACTTTGGGAGATATCATGGCTACAATCCTTTATATGATGGCGATGATTAAATGCGATTTAGGGCTAAGCCTCTTGTTATTGCGTTCTCTAAGTTTAATACGCACGAGAACGTGTGTCTATTGTTGTATGTGGCGGAGAGGTGGTTTAAGAACCACTCCACTCAGGAGGAGAAGAAGGTGCATCTAGCATCCTTCTATCTCGAGACGATGCTCTTCAATGGTGGGAATGGATGGAGAGGTCGTATGAAGAAGCTTAGTTGGTCATCACTTGCCCAAAGTTTAAGGAGGGGTTGAATTACCAGTTCGGGAAATCAGAAGGATGGGTACCAGAGCAGCTTGCAAAGCTGAGGCAGAAAGGAATCGTGACAGAGTTCAAATCTGAGTTATTCAAGCTAGGTAATATGTGTAAAGGTATGCTAGAGGAGGCGTTGGTTGGTTTGTGTATGGGAGGTCTGAAGCCCGAGCTGGCGGCTGCAGTAAGGGTGTTCGAGCCTGAATCCTTGAGGGTGGAGTTCAGGCTTGCAGTGAGGAAGGAAGAGGAGCTGGCGAGTCAGAAAGGAGGCGCGAACCTCTTCTAGTGTGCTAAGAGCAATGCGGGAGGCAAAGTGGCTGTGGGAGGTGGAGGTGCAGCAAGAGGTGAAGGAGTCGTGCCGCCGACGGTGGGGACCAGATCCGCAACACCAGTGGCGGTCGCGGGAGCCACTGTCGCTGGAACAAGGACGGGACTCCGTCCGCCACCACGTGGGTTCGTTCGGATGACACCAGTAGAGATGGAGAAGAGACATAGGGGTGGGAAGTGATTCCACTGCAATGAGAGATTCACGGCGGGGCACCAGTGCGCTAATGCCCACTTGATGCCGCTTGTTGCTAACTGATAGGACGAGGCAGAAGATATGGCAGTCGGGGTGATTTAAGCAAACCAAGCAGGAGCTAATCAGCCGCAGAGAGGAGCTCACCAAACTTGACAACAAGGTTGAGTGTAAGAGGGAGGGAATGATAGAAACATGGTTTCTATATATTTTTGGGTTTGCATTGATTGATGTTTATGATTTGAGACATTTTGTTATTTCAGTTTATTTGGGTACTTTTAGGGATATTCAGTAGTTTAGTGATTGGGTTAGTTATGGATAGTTTAAGGGAATTTGTCGGGTCTATATATTTTATAATTTTGGAGTGATCTAATTAAGCATAATAATAGAAGAATTATCTCAAAACCCTATCTCTCTCTTATCCCTCTCCTTGGTCGACTCCTCCCTTCCTTCCCTTTCTCTCACGGCTGCAAACCAGCCGCCAACTCCCCCAACCTCAACCTTCTGTTTCTCTTCTTTTTCCACTCCCCTCACCTATTCCCAATCACCCATTTGAATCCCCGATCCCTCTCTTTTCCCCCAAATCATCTCAATTACTCATTGTGATCAACCCCTAATCACAACGCTCGAGATCTAGGTTCTATTAGAATAACACAATTTACACCCAGATCGCCAAGCAGACGACGAAGCCAAACAAGCTCCGATGAAACATCAGACATAGCATGATACTCCGTCTCCGTTGATGATTAGACACTCTGTCCTACTTCTTGCAGCGCTAGAAAACAAAGGAATCACCAAGACAAATACACACTCTGTAGTAGAACAATGAGTGTCAACACATCCAACATAATCAAAACCGGAGAATGCCTGAAGTACGAGAGACCCATAAGAGGGAAGAAACAATCCAACATCCCTCGTACCCTATCAGTAACGCAGAATGCGATGGACGGTAGCCAAATGAAATGTGTGAGGAGAAGACATAAACTGACAATCACCCGGACCGCATAAGCAATATCGGGAAGAGAAGATGCCAAATATATCAAGCTCCCAACTACAATATAGTCTGCTTACCGTCGCCGGGTATGGGGTCTCCCGATTTGTGGCCAAGCTTAAAACCGAGCTCCATAGGAGTAGAAATCGAACTGCACTCCCCAAATTGAGATGACTCAAAAGATCATTAATATATTTGCCCTGACTCAAAAGAATTCCATTCGAGTTATTTTGTGTATCTCGATAGTTGTGGCTATATTTGTCACAAACCTGAAAGTTGTGACTATGAAAGTGTATTTTGCTTTTTTATATCAATTAAACAAGCCATTACGTAAGTCTACTATAAGTTTGAACAAAAATAACTTTCATCAATATGCATTATTGAGTTATTTTTTTAGATATCAATTTAATCAAATGTGATAATTTTAGTAACTTAATCATTTTATTATTACATAAGATTCCTTAATTATTAACTATATTCACAATCCTATCAATTTGCATCATTATTAACTATATTCACAATTTATCCTATCAAGATGCATCACACAAAGGTTCAGTGAGGTAAGTGAACTTTTACATAATAGTTTAATCAAGTGATACTTTTTCTTAACTTGGTTTTATTATTCGACTACACATTACGTAAGATTTACGTAACATCGTTTTATAATAGTTATGCATATTACAAACACATCGGGTAACGTTTACGTACAGATAATTATTTCTTATGTATAAATTAAACTAAAGTGTTATATAAGTCTTTCTTAATGATTAAGGCACAAATCGATGAAGTTTTAAATAAACTTAGTTTGTTACCGCCACGAAAAGCGAGTCAAAAAACTAGTGTATATTATTAATAATGACATTGGTTGACAAATAACCATATTAAGAGGTAATTGCTTGAATCGTTGGCATTTAGAATTACAGAACTAAAAAGGGACAAAGGAGGAGGTTGGATGAATGGATTGGAAGACTTAAAGTATCAAGTTACTAGTCAACATTTAATTCATTAAACATCTTGTTGCTAAGATATATACTTATCAATCATATGTTGATAGGCTTGTTTAATATTTGGTTACTCAAAAAAATTTTTTTTTTTTTTTTTTTGGCGAACTCGTAGAGTTGGTGAGGTGATGATCAGACATAAAAACAAAGCATCCATTTGGGGAAATGACACATAACTCAGAAGGAAGAGATGGAACTGGCAAGGACGTCCTCCTCCTCCACTAGTGACTTTATTCAACAAAATACATAGGTAGTGAATATTATGTGTATGTAAGTGTGAACCTAATGTACTATACTATATTTCAGGTACTTTTAGTTAGAGGTGGGTATGTGGGTGGTTAATTCGCGGATTGATATTGCTATACCCGCAAATAACCTGACCCGCAAGTACTGGGTGATTGATGTGGGTGGATTGCGAATTGATAAATCTCTCATCTGCACTTATGTGGGTGGGTGGTGGGTGGATTGTGGTTCACTCAAATGATCTGTATCTTATTTTCACATGAAAAAATGTTGTTTTGACTACTTAATTAGTTATTGTGTTGTGTAATATCCATTAGATATTGGATATTGAATTGTAAATTATTGTTAATATCCATTACATATTGGGATGCAAAATTTTAAATTATTAACTTTATTAAAATCACGAAATGGGTAAGTTCTCTCTCCACAATTGATTGATAGAGTAGTAAAAATATTTATGCAAATACTACATCGATTCACTTGAACCAAAGTGAGAAGTGTGCAAATACTAGTTGGAGAATTGTTTTTGCGGGTTAACCTATGACCCAACCACACGCATCCGCCACCAACCCAACCCGACCTGCAGAAGAATGTTGGTGGATTGCGAGTCACAATTATTCCAACTCGCTAGTAAACGGGCAGGTCAATTTGAAACGAAAACCCACTCAACCCACCTATTACCACCCCTACTACATCTAGATCATGAATTAAACTCAGTTTGGGATATAATACTATAATAACTCCTAATGGACCCTGAACTTTGATTTTCTAAGCTCAAACCTAAAATTCAATTTATGTAAAATAATAATTGACCATTGAGATTGGTCACACTACAAGAAAAACATAGTTTAGAGTCAGTTATATTATGTGTTTAGTGTCGGTTTTAACCGGAAAAAAAAAAACATTTAGCGTCGGTTCTTTGAACTAACTCGAATGCATCTGGCCGCCGACCTGTTTCTGTTTTCGCAAATCCATCCACCACCGGCTTGTTTCTGTCCCTGCCGGTAACCCCTGTCTCACAAATCGCCATCTTCCCTCCTCATATATCACCCCACAAATCTCACAACCAACAGTCCAGATCGTCCCCTGTCGTCGAAGAGACTAGCTCTGCCCCCATTGGATTTTGTAAGGAAACAAGGCAGGAAGCAGATCGGGCATACAGATTGACTCTGGGATGACGAGATATGTTCGTTCGAGGAAGGAGAAGAGCAGGATTTAGGTCTGGATAAAAAAACATAATCATATCTGCCAATTTTCTTCGTAGCTAGAGCAGCGGCGGGGGATTCCGCTATTTTTGGTTCTTCAAAAACATGGGACTTGTTTCTCTTCTCTTCCTTGTTCGAATTCGCCAGCGACAGTGGGGATTATCCTGCAAAAAACACAATTCATTTCTTATCAATCTCTTCTTCCACACAATCCTAGTAATCAAAACCCCCAAAAGCAAAAATCGAACCCCCCCAATCCATAAACCAAAACCCATCAACCCATAAATCGAACCTCCCCTGTTTGAGACTGTCACCGGATCTGTGTAAGGAAGGAAGCCGAGTTGTCGTCGGTGCCTTCCGTGCAGCTGAATCGGAAGACGGATTGCAACTTCTTCCCGATTTAGGCTCGGCAACAACTCTGCGGAAGGATTCATTGGCTGCTGCGTCCATTGAGAGGGTTTGGTTTTTGTTTTAGGATGCTAGAAGGGATTAAGAGAAGAAGAGAGTAAGGGAGAGGCTTGAGGGATACGAAGAGGGAGGGAAGTTTCCGAAGTTCTGTTGTTCTCGGAGAAGAAGAAGAGATGAAGGGGTCGTTTGCTTCAACGATTGGTACATGGATTTGGTACCAAAAAACCAACTATCAAGGATTTAGGTACAATCCGTTGTTTGCTTGTATCTTTTTTGGAGACCAAATTCGTGGGGCCCACGGATTTTAAGGGTCCAAATTCGTGGACCCCACGAATTTATAAATCCCACATGTTGATGTGGGATTTGGAATATGGCATAAATCCTTGATGACATTTTACCCATATACCCTCATACACTTTTAATATTCCAAGGTTGCCCTCAAATTTAACTATTATACATTATAATTAACAATAAATGAATAATATAAACGTTCAATTAATGTGCAAACATGAGTTAGATTTTTTATATCATTTCTTGTGTTCTAGTTTTCTTTGACCTTTTTATGGAACGTGTAATTCTTTGTTCTCCCTATTCTAATATATGTTGTTATATGTTACTTTTGAAAAGGAGGACAAAGAATTGGTAATTGATTATGTTACGTTAAAAGTTAAAATGGAATTTTCTCGTTTATTATTATTGTCCATGTGGCAACATTATGCTTATTAGTATGTATTATCCTTGTTTTGTGTACATATCATAAACATGTCAAACATATAGAAAATGATAGTAAGGTAATTTTGAAGTTTTGTCCTTGTTTTGTGTACATATCATAAACATGTCAAACATATAGAAAAAGGCAGTAATATAATTTTTTTACTTCAAGTAGTAAATCCCACACCTTTAAATCCATGATAAAAACATCCCAACAAACAAAGGATTGTTACAAATCCATGATGCCTCAAATCCTTGATAAATCCTTGGGTTTTTAAATTCCAAAACCCTCGTTTATAAATCCATGAATCAAACGACCCCGAAGAGGAAGAGATAAGGGGGAGGGAGGCAAAGTAAAAAAATTGGGGTGGGAGGGATTTGAAAATTTTGGGTTTGCTGCCCAAATTTGGTAAAGGGGGGAAAGTTGTTGGCAGGCAAAATAATTGCTCCAAAATATTAGGACCAGAGTTTTTTGATTTTGCGTCGATTAAAAATCGAATCAATTTAAAATGTTGTGTCGATTGTAGCCGAAACAAATATTAATTGTGTCGGTTATAGCTTGAATCGATACTTAAAAAGTGGTGTCGGTTACTTAACTGACTCTAATTCAAAATTTTGTGTCGGTTTAAAGAGTGTAACCATTTCAATAAAGAAATACCAGGATTGGGGAGACTTATTCCTGGCCAAATAAAGTTCCACATCGATGAAATAGTACTGCATCTGAAGAGGCCTTTTGCATCAGTTAGTAAGAGAACATTTGCAAAAATGCATATTTTCTCGAGTTGCCAACGCATTCTTCTCGCATCGCCATATGAACATCTTAATTTTCGGTGGTAAAAAGAGACTCCACATCCATTTCCACTATCATTCTTGCTGCTAGTTACTGATGTGGTTCAGAGCTGAAGAAGAATGGATTTGATGAAAACATGACTTTACCGATAAATGACCTTTCTTTTCAAAATTCCATACATGTTCGTCTTCAAACTCGAAAGATCCAAGGGGAATTCTGAGAATTGTTGTGACAACCTCTTGGGGAATGAGATCTGAGAGTCGAGCCGAATCCCAACGATTCTCAGGTCATAGGATAAAGTCTTCCACCCTGAATTAAGATGTTCCAATTTCTTCAATATGAAAATTATTCAAGTCCAGAATCCATGTCTCATCTTTCCATGTACTTTCCCCATTCCCAATGTTCTTGCGAAGGTTAGTGAGAAGTGCTTCATTTCCTGTCCAGATGCTCGCCCAAATCCAGGAAGCCCTTGGTCCTTTTGAGCATTGACAAAGTCATCATTAGGGAGGGTCACTGCTTCAATTGTGATGAGCTATATACGATCGACCACCAGTGCGCCAAGGGACATCTGATGTTGCTTGTGGGCAATCGGGAGGACGAAGCAGAGGAGCTGGCGGCGGAAGGCGCGCCGCAGGAGCCGAACGTCGAGAAGGGCGAAGGCCAATCTTGAGGGCAAGATTGGTCTTAAGGGGGATGGATTGTTAGAAACCCAGTTTCTAATAATCTAGGAGTTGAACTTGTTTGTCGGTTTATTATTAATTTGAGGACCTCATATGTTATATTCGGGGCATTTTTTGGATTATTTGGGTATTATAGGGTAATAAGGAAATATCGGGTAGTTATAGGGAATTATCGGATTATATATATTCTGTAATCAAGAGATTAGGAGGAAGCAATTATAGAACAATAATTTCCAACCCTACTCTCCCTCTCTCTCTTTCCCTCGGCCAACTTCCTCTCCCTCTGCCCTTTGCTGTCGTCGCCTCCAACCTTGAAGGAGACTTCTGCTTCTTCTTCCTTCACTCAAATCCACCTCCCCAAACCCCCAATTTCTATATTCCCAATCCCTAGTTCCCATATCAATTGTGATTCCTGGTTCCTCGACGATTAGCGAACCCTAATCGTGCACGCCTAGATCAAGGTTTCTAACAGTTTGCCACCCACAGATTTGAGTTGTGATCTTCTCAACCAATATCAAGTAATCTGCCTTAGTAAACTTACATGCAAGTAGGGGAACACCCAAGTATCTAATAGGAAAAGAACCAAGAGAAAAACCAAGTTTTTCAGCAATGGACTCCTTTTCTGATTTAGCCATACCTCCAAAGAAAATCCAAAATTTATCTAGATTGACCCTCAAAAGTGATAAAAAAATCAACCTGAATACTCTTGATTTTCTCCACAACAACCTCAAATCCATTGGAAAAATAAGTAAATCGTCGGCAAAACACAAATGAGTTATGTCCAACAACTTACAACGACGATGAAAAGCAAAGTTCCCTGATTTAGCAATTCTATGTAGCAAACATGAAAAATACTTCCATGGTGATGGTGAATAGGTACAGGGAGAGGGGATCTCCCTGTCTCACACCCTTACCCTAGCGAAAAACCACAAAAACCACCATTCAGTGCCACACTAACACATAGGAGTGGACACACAAATACTAACTAGATTCATAAACCCTTATGGAATCCCCATTCCCCTCATGACTGTAAACAAAATTCACCAATTCACCGAGTTAAACGTCTTCATCAAATCGATTTTAACTACACATATAGGGAGAAACATATGCTTTGTTGTAGTCTTTAATCAATTCATAAGCCATTAGAATACTATCTCCAATTAGCCAGCGCTTCATGCAAGCTGACTGCGAAATGCTAATGTGTTTCAGAAGAACTGTAGCCAAAGTTTTATGGGTCGTTGGATGGAGTATTTGTATGAGTTATTTGTGAGTTATTTGGGTTCAAATAACTCATAATTAGTTATTTGGACACAAATAACTCGTTTGGCAGCGTTTTACCAAAATTAGTTATTTGGACAATGAGTTGTTTACAAATAACTCAAAACGAGTTATTTGAAATAAGTCATACCCATGTGTTATTTCGACATAACTCGTTTCACCATTATGTTTTTACCAAATACCACATGTCAAATACCACATTTGCATGGTTCAACCAAACGAGATACTTTATTTCAGTTACCACTGAAATAACACTGAAATACCACATGACCAATAAATGAGTTATTTGACTCTACAAATACCACATTGACAATTAACACATCCAAACGAACCTCTAGTTATTTCCTTATAAAGCACATTGCAACACAAGATTGGCCTAAAATCCTTCATTCGTTCAACATTAGCAATCTTTGTCAATACAGTCAAAAGCGCGATTCTACCTAGAAGCGGTGGATGGGTAAAATCGTAAAGCATAGAATCGAAGCGTAAAAGCGTAGGTTTTATATACATCCTGTAAAATAGCTAAAAATATGCTAAGTACGACATGTATAAAATGGTAGTGTATATATAGAAGTGAATAGCTACCTGCAATAAATCATGACTGATATCATCTGAAACATAAGTTGATAAACATACATCATAAGCAACTCATAAACGACTTTAAAAATCCAAATGCCAACAAGCTGATTTAAGTTTACATAATGACACAAGTTTAATAATTCAAGTTCTTGAAATGAAAGCACACAAATATTCTAAATAATAGAAAGAAGTTCAATTAGTATAATTCTGCAAAAAAAAGTTCAATAAACAATATCAATTCAATTCCGCTAATACCAATTCCAAGAACATAATTAAGAAATCCATTAAGTCTAAACTGCCATTGCAGTAGTCACTCTCCAAACTGCAATTAACCTCGACAATATCAAAATGGTGGGCAGTGCTCCCTAATCTACAAATCTGCAACTAACCTCTACAAAATCACTATACAAATATGCAACTAGGGCTTCCAAACGGGTTTGCGGTTACCGGCTTAACCGGCCGGTAACCGAAAAAACGGTAAACAGATGTGAATTCTTGGCTGGCGGTATGCTGGGACCGGACTTGCAATTTACCGTCGGCTGATCGGTATTCCGACACCGAATGGGAATTTGATTTTCAAGCGCGGATCCTCAGCCACTCAGCCGCCAACGCCAAGCAAACAAATAACAATAGGATTTCAGAATAACGAAACGCCGGCCATCCACCCTAAAAAAGCCCTAACGATCTAAGCCAGCCTATTTGCATCCCCTGACCCTGACGCCCTGACTGCTGCACGACCACGAGTCCACGACCGCCGATCCCTCCTCCTCCGTTCATCGTCATTGGCTCTTGACTCGTTGCTCTGTTTTCGTCAAAGCCAGCCGTCGAACCCCATCGTCTCCATCGGTAGCGACGGGAACGTGACTCAGCAGACAGCAGCCCAAATCCAGGCTCTATTTCCGGCAATTTCCTCCCATCGCCGCTCCGCTTTCCGTTGAACTACGTGAGACCGTCGTCGTCCCTTCTCCGGCTCTCCATCCATTTTAGAGGTAATCTTCTCCAGCTCACCGTCCCTTCTCTGCTGTCATAGACATGTGGGCGTGGTTGTACTTCACTCTATAACTG